TTAATTCACCTTTTCTAAGGACCTCCACAACTTTCAACACTTCGGCTTAGTCTAGAGAAGTTATGTTACCCTTTGTATACTGGGAATTTTATGTATTATGAATAACATTTCAATCTTGTATGTTAACTTAAGATTAAAAATTTTTGCTATCTATTTGGATGATTAGAATGATTTGTGGAGTTCTATGGTTTTTTCCAAATATAACTTTAGGAAAATCACTTTTATTTAGATAATTGACAGGGTAAAAAAAAAAGAAAAACACCTGCTTTACCATCACATAACTCACAGCTGTTCTTAAAATCGTCTTAAACGTTGTTAGCCTGAGCCCAAATGATTTGCTCGCCAATGAAAACTGTTTTAATCTTGTTTGCAGCACAGCACCGACCACCATTTTCCATGATTTAAAAAAAAAAGCTTCTTGGTACAGCTGTTTAATAAATCCAATAAATGAAGTTAACTTTAAAAAAGAAATCATCAAAAATATTAAATAAAGATTATACAAGTCACAGGATGTCCATGATTTAGTGTGTATCAATGTGAAAAGAATTCCTTCCCAGTCTCCGAATCTAAAGACATTATCCAGATTTTCTCAGATATACAGAGTGATGCTTAAGATACAGTTGACGATTTTATTTTCAATGTATCATTTCTCTTTCCTCAGCAGAGAAAAAAAAAACCTCAGCAACTATTTCTGGGATTCTTCAAAGGAGTAGGAGTGCAGCGCCTGCTCCTACTCTTTAAGCATTGATTTTCTACACAATCTGTGATATGGTTTCTCAGAAATGCTGTTTGGCAGTGCTGAAAATTTCACGTGTTTTCAAACTTAAGCCATCCAGACTACACAGTTCAGTATTTTCAGCTCCTTTCATTTTCCTTTTCCCTTTAATTATAGAAGTCTCTATTCCTTCTTTTTGCAACTGTGGTCAAGAAAGATGCTACATGCAACTGTTTGTAGAAAGAACGTACGTGTTTTGTTTTTTTTTCTTCTCATGACGATTCACATAAGTTCTTCCCAAATACAAAAGCTGCGCTATAGCTAACGGATGACACTACCAGACAACACTTTACTCCTAACAACTTTTAGACCCTCACCCGTTCATCCCTTTGACTGTGGTGGATGTGCCACATGCCCTGGGGAGAAAAAGCAAGTAGACACTCTCATTTTAAACTTGCACTGAAAAGCACTTTCAAAATAGTAATAGTTGAGCTGCATCTCAGACCTGACTTTTCCTGCTCAATCCATTCCCCAGGACCCCTCTCTCTCCTGCTCCGAGTCCGGGTCTGTCGGGCGCCGGTTTCTGAAATCGCACCGCATAGTTTATTGCGAAGCTGAGTGGGTGGGTCCACGCGCACACCCAGACTCCGGCCAGGACGCCGGGCCCGGAGCTCCGCGTCGCGCGCCCGGATCGCGATCCCCCGCCCTTCGCCCGGCCTCACCACAAATCCCAGTTTGAAAGAAAACTTCACGAGGCCGAAATGAACCTCCCCTGGTCGCTGCAATTCTTCCTTTCGAGCCGGCAGAAAACGTGAGATTTATTACGACGCGGGGGGGGGGGGGGGGAGTGGATGGGGAAGGCTGCCGGGGCACTCTCGGAAGCGGGTTACCTGGTCCCCCACCAGCCCCCGCCCCGGCCTGGGGGGCGGGTCCCGCCGTCCGGGGGCGCCCAGCCAGGGGCGACGCGGCCCGGCGCGCGGGTGGGCGCGAGGGAGGGAGCGCGTCGCGGAGCCGCCGGGGCAGCACTTGTCCTGTAATCGATTGCCGAGCGCGCCGAGCGGCCCAGCGCGCAGAGACGCGCACACGCGCCTCGCCAGCCCGCGCGCACACACATACACACACACACACACACACACGCACCCAGGCACAAGCGCCCCGGCCCCGCACACGCGCGCGCGCGCACGTCCGCCCGCGCCCCGGGCCCCGCCGCCCGCCGCCAGCCCGCCCTCCGCCCGCGGGCGTCTGCGCGAGCCCGGCCGGCGGGGGAGATGTGCTCTGGCTCCGGCGGATCGGTTTCTCGGGGTTTGACCAGCTGTCCCGGGCTAACCCTGCTTCTCGCTGAAGATGGAGGAAGTAAAAACAGGATTACCCTTAGCTACAGATCCACTGCCTTAGTTTCCACCACCAACTGCAGTGCACAAACACACGTTAGACACAGGAAAGAAAGAAAGAGAGAGGACACACTAACAGTAAACACAAACAAAAGGGTGATGGGATTATTTTACTGCATGCACTGCTGAGGTAAATCTCCGCTTGGCTTTTGCGTGGTGAAGAACAGCTCTTGTTTTATTTGTCTTCTGATTCATAGATTATATATAAATATGTCTATCTGATTTGCAAGGAGGGGGGGAGTGTTTTCAAAGTTAAGTGTGATTATATAGCATCTCGTTTTGCACCGTGATGTGATCAAATGACTTGTTGCTGTTAACCAGTAATAATAAGATATAGATACTATAGATATTTTTTTCTCTGGGAGGGATGCATTGTGGTTATGATTAGGCTAATGATTTCTGTAAAGGACGCTCAGGGAATCGGGTTGAAGATGATGTCTTCTGCCTTAATTTATCGTCCCCTGCTTGTAATCTGTTTCTGGGATGTTAATCGATTAATCAGTTCTCATCTCTATAGCTGTCATGGATTTGGACTTGTTTTGCTTTGTTTTAACTTGAATTCCAAGAAAGGTGGGGTAACCTGGAATAAATTGCAGCTGTGTATCTATCCCAGCTATAAGGGGATATCCAAATCCTGTTGGAATTAAACAACAACAACAACAAGCTGGTATGACACGTGAAAAGGCAGCAGTTAAATCACTTTGACAGGTTCTGGTGTGGGTGAAAGAGATGGACTTAAGATTTAATTTATTATTATTATTTTGCCAAGGGCGAAAAACAGTCCTGTGAAGTTGGCCTAGGTTCTTTGCTGGGTTCCCCCTGACTGTCCCTCCCCTATCCGCCCCCCCCCCCCCTTTCAGTTTTCTTGTCTTAGCTTTTGGTCGATTCTTAAGGAACCGGTGGATCAAGTTTTTTCTCTTCTTGTTAATCGCATTGCTGTAGCACTGACTGACCTCTCTCTCTTTTTTTCCTCTTTCCTGAAAGTACGTGGTGCCATTCCGGAGTGACTTTTCCTACTAGACCATCCCAAAGGGACGAGGGGGAGGGGTGAAGGAGGAGGAGGAGGTGGTGGAGGAGAAGGGGGGTGTTCCTTCTCTCTCATTTCTTGGTTTTGTTTATCAGCCGATCTGTTTGCTGGATTTGGGCTCGGAATGACCCACCTGTAAAGTGCTTTTCCTTCTTCCTCGCCTTGAACTCTGCAGGGGGCTTGGCTTGGAAGGGGCTAGGGAGGGAAAGAGAGAAGGGGGAAACACAAAAAACTTCTTTCTTTCCCTCTCCGTTTATCTTCAGCACGACATTGTCACCTCCTCTTTGAGGGGTTAGAAGAAGCTGAGATCTCCCGACAGAGCTGGAAATGGTGATGAATCTTTTTTAATCAAAGGACAATTTCTTTTGTATGTACATTTCGTTTCTCTTTCTCCTTTTCTTTCTTGCCTTCTCTGAGGGTTAATCTTTTCATTGATGGGGCAGACTTCTTTCGCTTCTCCCTGACGTTTCTTTCTTAATATGTGTGTGTTAAATGTGTACATTTTTAAAGAGATAAACTCTTTTGTAAAATATCCAAAGAAACTGCTCCCCTTTTAAACTTTATGGATGCCTTTCTTTAAAGCCTTATGTAATCATAATTTGAAAGAATTTGGTAACAGTACAGCAGGTTGAAATTTAAGTGCTGTGTAGTGACTGAGTTGGGAATTTGATCTGATTATTCCATAAAGAAGAAAAGTTTTTTTTTGGGGGGGGGGGTTGGTAGGGAGGGTGGTGGTGAAGAAGGGGAGGGGAGGGAGAAGGGAAGTGGTTTTGGAGACAAGAAGTGAAGCTGCCTGTTTTCCAGTAAGTAATGGAGAAATTCCAGGAGCCAGGGCTAAATATACTTGGCGATCAATACAGAAATGGCTCATTGTGAATAATTTAGCTGCTGGTGCAGTGAGAGTTTTGAAACTAAAGGCAAAAAGGACCAGGGCCAAAGGAAAAAAAAATAAGTAAAAAACATCTCAGGACATGTCAGTTCTTTAAACTTTTTTCTTCAAAGAATACAGTTAGCTTATCGATCTTTTCATTATGTGGAATCAAAGCTAGGGGGTGTCATCTCATACAATTTATTGTTGTTTCTGAGAAGTAAGTTCTTCTTTTGTGTCATTGGTGCATGAAAACAATTCCCCAAACTTTACAAAAGTGATCCCCTTCCTCACAGCAAAAAGTGTATGAATTTTTTCAAATTGGAAGGTATTAAGTAGGCTCGGCATTAGTAGCCAACCATGGTCTGGCAGTAAATTAAGGTTATATTGAACAGGTGCTCACACAGAACCTGGGGCTGGCTAAAATGTCAATACAAGCCGGGCAGTTGGGTAACTGCTACAGAAACCTTCCAGAGGTACTTGGGCACGAAAGTTGTTTTGTTTTGTTTTGTTTTTCCTCTGTTTGTTTGTCCTCCCCCCTCCCTGTTAGAACATGATGAACCAACTTGCAACAATTGTGAATAGAGCTATCTGTATACTCGGAAAGTCCTCAGACTGCAGCTTGATTGTAGGAAGTAGTGAATGGTAAAATACTTCAGTCCCAGTTAAAGCAGACACATTTGAGGTGTATCCCCTTCCTCTTTTTTTCCCTCTAAACGGAGTAAATTCTGATGAACAGAGTCTTTGCTTTCTCGATACAGCCCATCTCACAGCACACTTATCTTTCCTATCCTATCTCCAGCAGGAATCAGATCATTTGCAGAAAGAGTTCAGTGACTTGCAAATGAGCACATACAGTACACCATAGTATGTTTCTTGGGCACAGGTTGCAGCCGCAGCAACGTGGGCTAACTGCTTGGAGCTTCAAATAAGTTAAGCATTTAATGGCAGAGACTGAAAGGAATCCTTGTGTTAAGGGTATAATCTTTTGTATTGCAGCACTGCACGTTGACTATGGAAACAGAGGCTATTGATGGCTATATAACGTGTAAGTATTCGTTTTCATTCATCTGTTATGGGTAAATAAAAGCATGTTTGTTACCTGTATTTTAATTTCTGAATTGGAAATTTTTATCAAGAATTGTATACTCTTACTATCTGTTCACAGTTTCACCTTGTAAATGAGTTTGAGAAAATAGCAGGAAAGTGAAATAAGAAGGAAGTATATAGATACATACTTGCCATATTAAGGATATTATTTAAGTCAGTAATAGTTTAGCAGATCAAAACTTTCCTACTTGATTTTTTTTCACTTAAGTTTAGGCTAGGTTGGGTTACATATATGTCTACAAATACGGCATGTACTAAATATTTAGTACTCTGTAACCTAATTTTTCAGACACACAATATGAAAGAGAATTAGCTCACTTAAGTTGACTTCTTTCTTTCTTTTTTTTTTTTTAGCAAACTCTCAAACACCCAACTCTCTGGCCAACGTTTTGGAAATACTCATTAAAATTACCGGGTGCTTAATGATTAAGTTAGATGTTAAAGGAAAATTTTTTTCAAACAGAAGATACTTTAGACATTAACCACTCCATTTGTCCTTATTTTACAATTAAGATGACTGTGGTAGTGAAAATTTGTAAATGTTTTATTCTGTGCTGGTTGTGGCTTTTCATCATTTCATTCATTTATTATATATTTCTAAATAACTTTTCCTTATAATTTTTTGAGAGAAAAATGTATTTCATTAACATTTCAAGACTGTGCATGCTTTTGCATATATGATTACAAAGTTGGTAATTAGATTTTAGGTGACAGTGAATAGAGACCAAAAGATTTTATTTTGTGAAAACAGGTGACAATGAGCTTTCACCTGAAAGGGAGCACTCCAGTATGGCAATTGACCTCACTTCAAGCACACCCAATGGACAGCATGCCTCACCAAGTCACATGACAAGCAGTAAGTCTTCATTTTATGATTTTTTTTTTTTCCTATTTCTCTAGTTATAGACTTGAATTTGTTAGGTCTGTAGGGTCCACTCATATTGTGGTGTAGCTGCTGCTATAGATTTTGCTAAAGAAAGAACAACACAGATTTATTCCTGCTCATTTTGGTATCATAAAGCATGAGCCTCCTTACTAGTCTGAACTATCCCAAGGTGGCATTTGGGAGCTGGTGCTTACCTGTATCAGGTAAGAAATGTTAGGCTTTGCTGGTTATTCTTTTGTTTTGCCAGGTTTATGATGATTTATTTTTTGTTGTTGAGTAAAAAAAAATATGGAAACATGTTACTTCATAGTAAAAAACAAAAAGGAAAAATTTCTCTTCTATTGCCTTGGCACAAAGCTAATACATTAGTGGTAGAATCGTAGTGTTAGTTGCTTTTTTAAGAAAATGTGAAAGTTTCTTGTCCAAAGCATTGGAAGTAATATGTGACCGAAAATTTGTAGAACTCATTTACATACATTTCTCTGACAAAGTGAAAGCATTTTGTTTTAGGTTGTCAGAAAAGAACTGAGAAAATTTGGAAGGATGTTTTGAACTTGCTGGAATAGTTTTGGCTACTATTTTTGATAGTCATTCTTTATATCAAGATATAGCAAACATTGTTTTTGTGTAATAAAAAAAAACAACTTGCATGCTGTCAGTGACAGAAGACAAATACTTTATTAAGGATTTGGTTTGTTTTCTCTTAATTATGTTTCATAAGTTGTCAAGTGCAAATGCTTTATCACTGCTACTTAAACTTAATTTGAAATCTTGTGTTTCCATTTTACTTCTGATATGTGTTATATTCTTATATAGAAAGGACATCTGATTTCCATCTAAATGCAATGTAATTTAAAAGCTTTCTATTTGGGTGACATGTGAAGGAAAGGCATTTTCTTTTTAAAGATGATTTAATAACAAACTGAATCATATGATGAATTATGAGTATATTCTTAATATGTTAATTCTGATTATCTTGAGAGAACAAATTTTTCTTTCCACTTCCCTCTTATAGCTTTCAAAACTTGAGTTTATTGTAAAGTTACTAGCTTCATAGGTAGTTAACTCTTCTGAATTATAAGCAACAGTATATAGAGTACTGGTAAATACATTTTGCAGTTTTTTATTTTTAAGTGACTCTAGCTATTGACTTGAAAGTGTGACTGAGCTGTATGAACTTGCTTTACTTTTTTAAAAGTTTTCTTTGTTTTTATTAATGGGAATCACTTCCTAGGAAGATTTCATTCTAGAAGCAGTCACTGAAATTCCTTTATGACATAGGAAGATAAATTAATAGTAAGAGAATGTATATTAGTTATAGTGCTAATCTCTTGTAATGGATCTTGTAGCATTAATTAATTTTTTTGCTAGTTGACTATTAATTTGATAAAAGTTATGTACTGTTGCAATATAGGGAGTATAATTTTTGGACATTTTAACATTTAATGTGACTAGGTCCTTGGCACAATAGATTTTTATTTTTCAGATAATTTCATTTAATTTCCTAAAGCATAAAGATAGATTGATATGCAGTTTCTGTTAGCTTAAAATTTAGCTTAATATTGTCTTTAGAAACATTGAGTGTAAGGGGTAGGTAATAATATGTAATTGGACTTTGTTATCCCTGAGCCACCACTGGAATATCAGCAGGAAAGTGCTTGTTAATTGGTTAATTAGATCCTTTATTTGTGAATTTGATTTTGGTTTTGAAGTAATCCTTTCTAAAAGGCAGTTCACTCATTTATTTTGAATAAACATTGCAGAGTTGTAGGCATGATCACTTGGACAAATAAGAACTGTGCTTTTGACATTTGAGTTTTTCTCACCCAACAACAGTAAAATTATGTTTGGTAAAGAGATTTTGTTTTTGTTTCTTCTTTTTTTAAACTTACTAGCCTGTGGCAATTCCATCTTAGTAGAGTTTTTGGCTAAGCTGCATGTGTTTTCATGTTCTTTTCCAAAGAGTTGCAGGTTAAATATTTTGGCTCTCACTTCAGAGCTGTCTGTTGCATCCTTTACATAGCCTCTATTTACAGTATCTAGGTTACCCACTTAGGTGTTAGATGGAGAAGATACCCATTTTTCCTCTCTTTTAGATCTAGGAGAATATCAGCATTTTAGATTGCCAAAGCAAATAGCACTAGAGAGGGATTCTTGTCTGTTAATTAGAATAAGAAACCTATAGTTGGTCACTCAGATGTTTTTCTGTTATTTGGAATAATGATTTGTACATTTGCGACTTGGCAAATCACTTGTGGCCGAGATCACTAGTTTACCTAAATCTCTTTATATGCATTGCTGACTTTATTCTATGAAAAGATCTTATTTATTTTCTGCATTTCTTTAATATCTTCAAATAGTCTTCCTACAGGGCTGTGACTTCCAGAAACAGAATTGCAATGTTGATTGAAAGTATTAGAGCTGAAAGTAAATATGAAAACCTTTATAGATAGAATGAGATAGGCTCCGTAGCAGGAAGGAGGGGACAGGAGTATATGTGTAAGAGGTGAAAAGTTATTTTAAAACAGTTTAAAAAAAATAAGAGAAATAGAATCTTTGATTTTTATGAGATAACTAACGTCCTAGCAGTAAAGTAACACTGCCATGTGAGAACCCACTTATTTTCACTGTAGGAAAGTGGTCGGTTGTATTCTGAGGTCATAGTTGTTTGTTTGGGTTATTTGACGACTATTCTAAGATGAAGGGTACCTGTGCAACTTGCTGCCAGCTATTGTATAAAAAATAATGACAGCAGCTATCATTATTTGACAGTGCTAGAAGAGTGCATCGGTGACTTGGGAGAGAACTAAAAATGTACAATGCCTGACAGTCTTTGGTTTTAAAATTCAGCATGTAAGATAATCTTAAAAAGATGTGAGAGGTATTCGTGAACTTAACATTTTGTGATGACTACTTCCTATGTTTTCGAGTGAATTTTCTTAGAGAAATTTGGACTTTTTCTTCTAGAATGAGGATCTCTTTGATAAGAAGATGGGCATTGTTGCCTGAGCTCATTAGTGTACATATTGAGTCTGCTGACAGTCTCCTGTGTCAGGGATGACAGTCTCTGCCTTGATGGCTACTGGAAATACACAGTGTTAAGTGATTTTAAAAATAGAATCTGAAAGTTAAGAATCTGAGGCAGACAACTCAGACAGAACAATATAAAAATAATCCATATTATACTTCGGCCCATCAGATGAGACTTTATTTTGTGATTCCTTCTGTCTCTGGGTTAGCTCATTTCCAATTCTTGTATACTTGTTTCCGTATTGGTTTCAGATTATTCTGTAACTGCTGCTGAGTATTTTGAAAGGGTTTCAAGGTTCAAAAAATTGTAATTAGTCCTATTTTCCTTATCATCGTCTACTTTTATAATGCCAGTAAATAAATTTTCTTTGGAGATAGCTAATGGTGTAAAAGTGCGTTGTGACACAAATTTTTTTCCTATTACTTTAAAACCTTTACATGGATCCACTTTGCAGTCAATACCATTTATCAGTCAGTTTGATGGCCAAGTGGCATGTGTGGAATTGGAAGAAGTAGTAATTCTAGTTTTACAAGACTCTGACCAATAATCAGGTCAGCGAATCTAGTTTATTCTTTTCAGAGTGCTTCACATTCATTTTTTTTTTTCTCTTAGCTGGTTTCCATTTTTAGAACCTTGTGAAGTGTAAGTATATTATGGTGTCTATTTTTCCTGTGTGGGAATGGAGGCTTGAAGAAACCAGTTGTCTTCTAAGGTTCCTTAGGAAAAGGATGAAGTTGTCAGGATGGGGACACTGATACTACCTTGTGGGTTAGTTAGATTACTGATACCTGTAAAATGTCATTATCTCAGGGTGCCCACCATGTCCAGAACTGACCCACGTTTTAGTGGCAAAAACAGTATTACAGGAGTAGAATAGGGTTATTATGAGGGTGGAGTGATAACAGATAATCTTGTTAAGCAGATGTTCTAATGCACTTTTAAAAATATGACTTGTATCTTGAGACTCACCAGCTTTCTGAGTTGTCTTCTGTAGCTTAGCTTGGCAGTCACCCTTGGTTGGATTTCCACAGCACACACCCTAATATAACACCAGATAGACTTGATGTAAAAGCTCATTCTGTTTTTCAATTGTAGTACTTAGTTTTGTATATATATGCAACATACTTTACATTTAGTTTTTACTTGTTAGGAAATTTTTTTTAAAAGTTTGACTTGATTTCTTTATAGCTATCAGTGGTGTCATGGCCATGTACCAAGAGGGAAAAAAAAAAAGAAAGGAACTAAAGGAAGTATGTATGAGCAGGGAATTAACAACAGAATTGCTGTATTTTTTTTTTCTTTGCTCCTCATTCTGCCTCATCTTTTAAGTCTGCTTTGAAATAAGAATAAATGTCTGTCTTGGAGAAACAAAATAGCTCACTGTAGAAGTGTTGTTTTTATTGCCTCTATCTTTGTCTAAATTTGTCTTATCCAATGAAAACACACTGAAACAGTGTAACACGATTGGTTAGCTTCTTTTGGGACTCTTCCTTCAAGCTGTCAGGAATTTAGATCTCTGGGTCCCATGCTATTCTCTCCTCACTTTGAATATCAATATATTTTGATTTTATAATATTCTAAAAGATCAGTAGCCTTGTGACAGTCCTAAAATGATGTAGACCGTGTTGTTTTTCTTTGCCTGTTTCCTTTATATCCGTTTATGTGAACAGATATAAGTGTATTTTATACTTAGTGATCTGGTAGGAGTTTCCTTTTATGAATTAATCGGGCTCAGGAATCTCTGTTGAAATAGGTAAAGAGTATTTAGGAACTATTTTTCTTTATTTTAAATGCTTAATCGCACTGGAGTGAGAAAGCGAAGGGAAGTATAATTTATTGAGTGTACATAGGATGCCGAGTGCTATGCTAAGTGCACCCCTCTTATTTAGCTTAGTCTCCACAACAGCCCTGTGAGGACACTTCGCTTTATAATACCGAG